AACAATCACAACAATAAAAATCAGCCAAATCGGTCCAGCCATTCTCAAATAATGGCGTGACAATGGGAAACGGGTTTCATTTATATATAAATACTTAAATAGATATTTGTTTGTTTGAACGCGGTAATCTGCGGAATTAAGGGTCTGATTTTAATAATTCTTTTTGTGTTGGATAGTGCATTTATCGAGGATGGCTATAGGCTATAAAACATCTCGCTACGACCAATAGGAGCTGAGCAGAGCGTGTGAAATCGCGCGGAAGTAGCTAGTTTATAATAAACCGCTAAATGCTTATGCCGTATAAATAACACGTAAACAAAAACGATTAACTACAATGAAAGCTATGTTTTTGTCAGCGTTTTTGAGAGCCTTCTCTTTACATCTATACTAATATTATAAAGCCGAAGAGTTTGTTTTTTGTTTGTTTGTTTGAACGCGCTAATCTCCGAAACTATTAATTCGAATTGAATAATTCTTTTTGTGTTGAATAGTCCATTTATCGAGGAAGGGTATAGGGTATAAAAAATCTCGCTACAACCAATAGGAGCTGAGCAGAGCGGGTGAAACCGCGCGCAAGTAGCTAGTCCTGTATATAATTACAGATTTTGTCTAGACAAAGCGGCCTCCCAACCTTAAAATGCAAACAAATATCAACTAAACTACAACTTAATACACATAGCGTAATGTGTACACAAGTTAGTGTGCGTTGTCAGGTGTTATTATGAAGAGATGGCGCCACTCGTGAATATCTCTAGTGGTTTACTGCGATAACAGCTGTGAAGCTGTAATACGACAACATACGATTGTGACCTATGTAAATAGTTATACCTAGTATTTGCAAATATACTAGTTATTAAAAAAATGGTATAACATAACCGCTCAGCTCCTTTTGAATATGCATGATGTTTTATAGCTTATAGCCTTTTTTAGATAGGTATATAAACAAAGATTTCTGTTGCCTGCTTCTGCAGCCTCGTTGGCAAGGGGTCTCGGATTCGATTCCCAGGTCGGGAATTATTACCATTTTAAAAAATCTCAGTAGTAGCACGGAGTCTAGAATTGTGCCCAGTACATGGTAATAGGCTCACCCCCTATTACATGGGACCCATAACATAAATAGTGAAAAGTGGGTGTCACATTGTACAGTGGCATGATGTGCACCTCTGCCTACCCCTTCGGGGATATAAGGCGATGACTTTATGATGTTATAAGTATATGTTGCTTTCAATAAAAAAAATGCATTTGTTTTTAAATTAGGTATTTGATTTGCCTTGATTACCTATTAATATTTATGGGCACAACATAATTTATTTAGCCGTAGGTATAAGTTATATATATATAAAACCAATTATTTAGAATTTACATAGACTAGTACAATAACTAATCAGATGAAATAATAAAATAAAATTTCTTTAGTTTCCGCTAAATAAAGATATGAATTAATTTAGATAATAAATACAGTACCATAAACGTTACAACCTGTCTATATTTAATTATGTATTGACTTTAATAACTACCAAAATAGTAAATACTGTAACTAAACGAAACTGAATCGTACATGTACAAAAGTCATCATGGATTATGAACTCACCTTTTTGGTTTCCATCGTTTCATAAACACTCCAAACATGGTATTATCCTCGAAAATCACAATAAAAACAAATCACAACACTATTTTTTACCGATAAGGAGTCAAAGACTTCCGTACAATCAATAAACAACAACCGCACGTCAAATAATTGCACTGTACGATAAGATAAACACCAAAACACAAACGTTTGACCTAGACACACTGACAGACAACTCACAGCACTGTCCTACATCTATGTACACAGAGAAATCAATATAATCCAACAGATATATACCCTAGTAAAGTTATACAATTGACAACATCTCATAATTTTGTTTATTTTGTAAATTGTACGTCGATGTCGTAGTTGATTTGAATGTAAACAACAACACACGCGACGCGTCCGTTACTCGGTCTTAGCGCAACTGAGTCATTTCATTCGGTCGAAGTTAGGAATCGGAATAGCAAGTGACGAGACGAGTGTGCCGGTGCGCGTCAGGTGCGGTCGATCAGCTGCTCGGTAGCCGCCATCTTGGTTTTAACTTTAACGCCATCTCGCGGCGACCTTTCAACTTTGTATTACCTAATGATTATTATTAAATCATTTTAAATTGATTTGTCAAAACAGAGAAGGCTTCTTTCCTTAGTATATGTACCTATATGTCGCAGGCTGATTGTATAATCCGCCGTAATACTAGCTAACCATTGCCAAGCTAGTCATTTAGAAAAGTAGGGCTGTTTTCGGATACGGCAGCCCACGGATGTAATCATCCTCATTGTAATTATTTAACAATTAATGGTCTGGGGGACTATGAACATTGTGTACTTAGAATTAAAATTAAATGTTACAATATGATGGCATCGGCAAATAAATATTAATCGTCGTCATGGGTGTCGTTTTCTTGGTTTTCTGGGGTGATAAAAACGAGTACCATCGTCAAAATGTAAATCCAAGATGACCGCTACATAAAATTTTTAAACTTTTCACTATGGAATTTTTTCCATCGTTGAAATTTATGGACCGATTTGGCTTTCTTTCAGTTTGGTTCAGGACCTTTCATTTTATGAGCAATATAGTAATTGTATGATGTCATTTTATATTAATATTTGGGCACAGATTACTGAAACGTTTCTTATCCGATTATCGTACTTCTTTTTTAGGTTTTGTAGACCATTCTTTCAAGTTTGTATTGGTACCGTTGCCACAGTGCCACTTAGTAAGGATCTAATGATAAAATAAACGGGAAACCGAGGGTAACTCTCAGAGAATACTACTATTGACTAAGCACTTTTTTTTTTTTTTTTTTTTTTAAGGGGGGAAAATCATCGAATGACTGCCCCCGCCTGGGTGAGGCGGGAGGGAGTGTCAGACTCTTACTGACTAAAAACCACCCCGTTCCTTCTCCTGCACGTCGAGCCGGAGCCCCGGTTACCCGTTAGGTTCTCCGCGACTCCGAATCGGCATCGGCCCTATTGGGCCCCATCTGTGGTGGTCTGATGGCTCTTTGAGGCGCGCGCGGAACGCGACGCGCCGTACGCTCGGGTCTGTTTCTGGTCGGACGGGGAGCCACCCATGCTCGCCGTCCGCAGGCCCGCGCTTACGGTGGCCGGAGATCGTCCCGCGATCCCCGACGCCCGGTGTGTCCTTCGCGATGGCTGGGTTGCGAGGAGGCAGTGCTTCGCTGCCTCACGCGTCCCGCCTCCTCCTTAGCTAGCATGACTGCTTCGCAAAAGGAGGAGACGGCATCCCAATCCCCCTCGCTCCGCATCATGGCCTGCACTAGGCCCGGACGCGAGAGGTCGCCATCGCCGATCACTTCCCTGAGGACACGGCGGTGCTCAGCCCACGAAGGGCATTCTCCCACCGTGTGTTCCACCGTGTCCTCAGGGCGGTCCTCAAAGGGGGGTCTTACCGCTGCAATGACTGCGAGACTCTAGTATGTATATAATATTATTGTAGATTACAACTCTTTGTATTCTAAAGGAAACCGAGGAGTCTAAAAAAATCGGCATCTACATATCAGTATAGTAAGTACTTCAGCGTGCTATTATGTCGTTTAGTCAACCCGTACATGTGTTGTACAGTTGACACAGTAGCTAGGTTGAAGAACTTCACTTGTAGTAGGTATACCACTCAGAAACCAAAGTATGGGCGTAGTGTAGCAATAGGTACAGGGTGGGGCAATAGTCGGAAATAATAATAAACAAACTAGCAAAGTTAAAACACAACTACGGATAGTAACACAAATGAACGTCCTCGAAACCAGAATAAAAAATAAATAAATAAAACCAGAATAGTCCATGTTTCAATAAAATTACTTTTATTATTTAATCATACTCGCACATAAATTAATGTCCTCTAATGCTTGCAAACCGTGACTGTCGCGATCCCATCATGTTCAGAATTACAATATTTTTGTTACATCATCAGTTATCGTACCGTTCCTTCAAATTATTTCGACCTTTCAACACAATAAAATATGCAAAAACAATCCCAGGACGCTTTGCTCGCTCACAATGGCTATCGTCCTGGCCGACGATAAGTTTTGTTTTTGGGACAAGCCCGCCACGACCACCCAAAACCGCTGCACCTCCTGTAAGCCAGGATCTACTGTAGATAACTTGGGCTCGCTACCATTGCAGCGGTAAGTTGCCTCTTTGGGGAGTGGCTTGAGAGACGCTACGGGGCGTCCTCACCTACTGACACAGGTCCTCACCGGACATGGGATCTTCGGGAGGTACCTGTATCTGATAGGGCGGGAGGAAACGCCCAGGTGTCATAACTGCGAGGACCGTCCTGAGGACAAGGTGGAACACACAGTTGAGGAATACCCTGTGTGAGCTGGGCACCGCCGTGCCCGCAGGGATGTGATCAGCGACGGCGACCTCTCGCGTCCGGCCCTAGTGCGGGTCATGATGCGGAGTGAGGGAGACTGGGATGCCGTCTTCTCCTTTTACCAAGCAGTCATGCTAGCTAAGGAGGATGCGCCCCGCCTGCTGCTGTAGGCAGTCGCCAGTAGGCAGTCAAGTCAAGGCAAGGCAGTCGCCTAGCACTACGGAAATTTGACTAAAAACGAAGTTAGTCCTATGGGTTAGTTGTCGTCCTTCCAATAATATGTATGGCAACAATGCCTAAACATCTACCAGAGCCAGAGACCACACTACCAAATTATGTGATGGGACAGAACAAAGAGCCCCATTTGGCAAGGCTTCGTCTCCTTCGACTAGTTGAACCTTTGTCCTCAATTCCACATAGATAAATATGATAAATTAGTTCTTAATAATTTTGTGTTCAGGTGAGTTCGGAGGCATTTGCTTGAGCAGCTGGCATATTAGTTTGCATATGTATCCCGGTATCGTGACCATTTTATTTTGACTTATACATAATAATTATTAAATGGGACTTAATCTTGAGGGGTTATTAAATTATTTTACGTAGTGGTTGCTTCTGTAGTGGTAGCTTCTGTAGTGGTAGCTTCTGTAGTGGTAGCTTCTGTAGTGGTAGCTTCTGTAGTGGTACTCTCTGTAGTGGCTGCTTTTGTATTGGTAGCTTCTGTAGTGGTTACTGCTGTATTGGTAGCTTTTGTAGTGATAGCTTGTGTAGTGCTAGTATATGTAGAGGTAGCGTTAAAAGCGTCAGTAGTAACATTAGTTGTATTTGTGTTATTTGTTATTTCTTGGATTAAATGTTCCAATAACTTATTGATGTCCTGCACTATAAAATGTATTTCCGAGCTTCCGAAATTTACTGTGGTACATTTCTCGTCACATTCTGCTTTGGAGTCAAATTTATTAAATGTTTGGCAGCCTCTCCATTCCGCTTTGATACAATGGCCATCCACGTGTGTGTATACTGTCTGCGTCTTGTTGGTACATTTATTTGTGTCGAGTGCTGATGCGCATTCTGAAAAATTGAAATGTAAAAAAACATAAGAATCATAATTTTATTTGCTCAAACATGTGTGGCATACAGAATTAAAATAGTACAGCATGCAAGATCTTAGAAAAAAGTGGCTCGCGACATGTCTGCCATTTATCATGGCGTGCAAATATCTGTTACTGAACTTGAGCATTATTTTTTCATGATTGACAAGCAGACCGTTGTTATACAAAGAAATACATATACGTGCCTAATTATGTTACGTAATATACTTTTTTTTTATTTATCAAACTAAGGTCAAAAGTGTTTCGCACCTCAAAGAGCCATCAAACCATTACGGATGCGGCCCAATAGGGTAGATGCCGATACGGAGCCGCGGAGGACTGATCGGGTTACCCAGGCTCTGGCTCAAAGTGCAGGAGTAGGAACGAGGTGGTTTTTAGTCAGTAAGAGTCTGACACTCTCGCCGCACCCGGGCGAGGGAAGTCATTGGTTGATTTTCTCTCGTCAAAATAAAAGGTGTTTATGTTAGGTCATGTCTGTTTCAGATATGTACTATTATCAATGGCATCAATATCATCATCGCTTCTTACGAGGTACCTTAACTTGAAATATAATGCCATTCAGCTACAAAACGCAGTTTATTTTAAAAAACAAAATATAAAGAAGAACAATAGAACGTATCTAACTCTATTTATTGTAAGGAAAAGATAGGGGACCTCGCAACTTTCCCACCTATCACTACTCCTTCCACGTAGGGCTCTCTGCTCGTCTGAAGATCTTGTGAGATTATAAAATACATGGCAGATTTGTATGTTTTTGAAAATAATTACAATATTTGAATAAATTACGAAATCATAAGATTATAAGATAAATATTTAATTTCTGCCTCGGCCGAGTTGTCGCAAGTGCGACGGCAAGGGGTCTCGGGTTCGATTCCCGGGTCGGGCAAAGTATTAAGTACTGGGTTTTTAAGAAATTCTCAGTAGTAGCACGGAGTCTGGAATTGTACCCGGTATATGGCAATAGGCTCACCCCCTATTACATGGGAGTCATAGCATAAATAGTGGAAAGTAGGTGTTACATTGTACAGTGGCACAATGTGCACCTCTGCTTACCCCTTCGGGGATAAAAGGCGTAATGTTATGTTGTTAAGTTATGTTTAATTTCGTAAAACATGTTTAATTTCGTAAAACATGTTTCTGACATTTTAATCTCCGACACAAACAGACGAATGTAAAGGGTGACGCCGTGGCTGAAGACAGTTTTTTGCAATGACATAACTTAAAACATAAAATCACGCCTTTTATACCCGAAGGGTTAGGCAGAGGTGCACATCATGCCACTGTACAATGTAACACCCACTTTTCACTATTTTTGTTATGAGTCCCATGTCCCAGGGGGTGAGCCTATTGCCATATACCGGACACATTTCCAGACTCCGTGCTACTACTGCGAATTTTTTGATTTTTTGAATAACTCAATAATACTTTGCCCGACCCGGGATTCGAATTCGAGAACCCTCGCCCGGCCAGTCGCACTTGCGACCACTCGGCCAATGAGACATTTTAAGCATTTTTTGAAATGAATTTTAACTAATTTATTATTTTTACTTTGACGTACATAACTATATGTAAAATAGCAAATGAAAGAAATATTATGTCTTCTCTTTTTACAAATTGCTTCCACAAGTCCAACACTATCAAAATTTAACATTGCACATCCTTATTTTAAAGGGGATAAGGTCTAAAATGATATTTGTAATGTCCAGTAGAAATCGATGCGTGTATCAATCAGTTGGGGAGTTGTGTTTGATCACCCAAGTACCCCTTCGTAGCGGTTCGTATTAGTTTATACTCACCCATTAGTTTATACTCACAGTTTATCTTTTTAAACAAAAATGTACGTTCGATGAAAAACAATGTTTGTATACTATATTCTTTAATTAATATGTGTATTAAATAATCAATTAACTCTGTTCGTGTGTACATAAATGTATTAATAAATAAAAAACCTTTTAGTAAAACAATCTCGCTAATATCGCGAAATCCAGACCCATTTTTGGACCGAGATTATTCTCACTAAAAAAGGACGAGATCTCGGGAGATCAAGATTGCATACTGGTATTTTTTTAAGGGGGAAAATTATCGAATGGCTACTCCCGCCTGGGTGAGGCAGGAGGGAGTGTCAGAACTCTCACTGACTAAAAACCACCCCGTTCCTTCTCCTGCACGTCGAGCCGGAGCCCCGGTAACCCGTTAGGTTCTCCGCGACGTCCACACTGATATAGGTCCGCCATACCAGTGTGATTGAGGACTCACCGTCAAAATCTAATATTGCCTTTCGGCTTCTGAAAATACAATTCATGCTGCACAAGTACTCATTTTCAAATTTATTGAGAGTTGGACAACCCCTCCACACTTCGAGTTCACATCTTGAACCTGGCTTGTAGTAGGCGAACACATGCTGTGGTGGCAAATTACAGTCGCTATGGTTAAAGGGTGCCAGGCAATACTCCGGGGGTGCTGCAATAAAAGTACGATGGCATAATTTATATTCGCATATTAACTTAAATTCAAATCTAAGTGCAGGAGATCATAATGCTTCAGCGCGAATGGGCCGGCTCGACCGGAGTGATACCACGGCCACAATGCTTGCGTTGCATTTCGCCGTGTGGGTGAGGTTACTGGAGCCCCAATTACCCCCTTCCCAATCTTTGAACCATCAACAATCCTCAAATTCTTAATCCCCAAAAGGCCGGTAATGCGCTTGTAACGCCTCTAGTATTTTAGGGCGACGCGGATTGCTTGTCATCAGGTGATCCGTCGGCCCGTTTACCGGCGAATCCCATAAAAAATTGTATACTTAATTTAATTTGTATACCAAATAAATTAATGTTATTTTGTGGAATGAAATAAAGCATATTATTCTATCTGTCACATAGGTTTATCCGGTACTTATATAAAGGTGAAGCAGGCGCTAACAGCAGCGGGTTTGTATAAATAAAAGTACACTCACCTGTCCATGCAATATGTAAGACATTAAATATAACAGCCAGGTAGCTTTGTGAACACCAACTACAGCTCATGATGGCTACGCAATCTATGGCACTATTTCTTGAGTGACTTTATAACAATATGTCGAATTAACTTCCAACTTACATCGGTTGATCCGTTTTAATTGTGATTGAATGAAGATTTTAATGGACCTGCTAACCAATTCAGATTAAATCGTTACTCAACGATATTATGCGCGTAGGTAGGGGAGAGGGGGACGGCCTCGGCCTATTTTATATCTATAAGAAAAATAAAAAATATTGAAAACTAATTAAATGAATACTAGACCCACTAGTAGCAAATCGCGCTCAATAAATGAGGGTGTAAAAGATGATCGCCGCTACAGTTTATTTATTTATAGCTCCCACACGATTTCACTCGCTCTGCTCGGCTCCTATTGATATCGTAACATAATGTTTTATAATGGACTATCCAACATAAAATAATTTCTCACATGGGACTAGTAGTTCCTGAGATTAGCGCGTGCACGCAAACAAACCAACAAACTCCTCAACTTTATATATTAGTAGATTGATTTTCATGTTTATTTGCACCAGTACTTGTTCATAACACTTAGTAAATTACGTGGGGAATAGTTTTGTGTAATTTAAATATACATCGAGCACCACCTGCCAACAAATCTTACACATGTCAGTACAGTGATCTAGCATCCGTGAATGCATAAATCTTCGCATCATACGGATCAGTTGAGAAGGCTTTTTTTAAGGGGGGAAAATCATTGAATGACTGCTCCCGCCTGGGTGAGGCGGGAGGGAGTGTCAGACTCTTACTGACTAAAAACTACCCCGTTCCTTCTCCTGCACGTCGAGCCGGAGCCCCGGTTACCCGTTAGGTTCTCCGCGATAGTTCAGAAGGCTATCTGACAAGCGGAGGATGAATGAAGTTGATGCTCAGTCAACCTGCAAGCCAAGCCTCTTGCAAAGGTGGCTGAGGAGTTCTGTGAGTCTCTGTATTCACCAGTGCACCGGATGCTCCAAACATTGATATATTATGCTTAGTGGAACAATAATATTCCAGGACGATGGCTGTCCAGCGCACTATTAAACTGTCAAACACCAAGCGGTCACCGGTGACCGCAACCTATTGTTCTATAATTGTGTCTACAAAACCGGTACTCGACGAGTTAAACGACTGTGCAGTAGTAGTGACTGAATACCTCGTTCCTAGGGCATTGGATTGGCAGAAGGGTTCAATTCCGTAGCCTACTCGGTGTTTAGATTTAACGCTGGTTGATTTTTACGTGTAGGGGCAAATGAAGACCCTGGATTAGCGTTCTATTCCATTCGTTTATCGAACTCCTACGCGGAAAATAATTGAAGTGACAAAAGAAATAAAACGCAAATTCAGTTCAAAAATGACCAACAAAATCACAGAGATAAGGAAGCGTGTGCGGGTAGATAATATCTCCATCTTCTTTCTCTTCTGCTGACCACTTGGCTACTGACACCTTTTGTGTATTGTTCTGAATTTTATGTAGGTGCAGATTGTATGCCAATTGTGAACTGTGAGCTTTGTGTGATGGTTGATTGAGTGGTGTGTGCGCCTGAGATGGTTGTAATTGATCGGAATCCGTAATATTTGTGACAAAAACTGTGTCTCCTAGTACTTAGCTAAGAATGTTTGTTGTGTGAATGGCGGTTTGCTTCTGTAGAATTGTAATGTCTATTGATAATACTGGTTTGTCCGTGTATCTGCTGAGGCTTTTGACTACTACTCCTGTGGCTCCAATTACTTTAGGGATAACGTGCGTTTCAGTATTCTATAGGCGTTATGTCGTGGTGGCGCGGAGGTTAGCATGTCGTGGTGGCCCGGAGGTTAAGACGCCCGCTTCTCATGCATAAGGTTGCGGGTTCATAACCTACCAATAGTAAGTAAGTACCAATGACTTTTCTGAGTTATATGTAGGTACTTTCTAAGATTATTTAGACACCACTGACAAACGTTGAAGGAAAACATCGTGAGGAAACCTGAACTTATAATTTCTAATTATAAGTTTAAAATCGCCAACTTTGAAATGAGCAAGCGTGGTGATTAATTCCTCCTAAAACCCTCCTTCGTGTAAGAAGATGTTTTGCTCAGCAGTGGGCATTTATAGGCTGTTAATGATGATGACTTTGTGACGATATGGATACCTACCACATGTGAAGTTGAAGGTGAAAATCTAATAATAGTTGTATCTCTTATCGATTGCTGGGCAAATAACGGATAAGTTTAATCAATCATTTCGTTCTTAGTCAAGGTAGTAGGCCATTTTCTACTTCCAATTAGAAATCTTACCTCATACCATTACATACTACACTGCATACCATTATTGTATAAAGCTGAAGAGTTTGTTTGTGTGAACGCGCTAATCTCAGGAACTACTGGTCTTATTTGACGAGTTTTATTGTGGTAATCCACAATAGCTGCTATAACTAAAAGTGCTCAAATTCCTTTTAAATCTTGATTACCAGCTGCTAGCTGTTGCATAAAATATGTATATAAGTAGGATAATATGTAATATGATTATGTAAGTTTATTGTTCTGTCATATATACACCGTGAAATTTATATATTTTTCGTCTCGCGGCAAAACAAATTACCATAAGGTTTTTTTGGCGCTTTCGATGCATGCAAGTTAAAACAAAAAATAAAGACATCATTGTGTTTAGTTAAAAAAAATGTTCATCGACTTACGTACATGAGGCACTATATGTGAATTACGTGACGTGTGTTGTTTTGATCATATACTATGAGTTCGTATGCGGTTTCAAAGTTTGCTTTCTGCAATTGTTATTTTTCGTTTTAAACATTTTATTTCTTTGTAAATCTGTATTACCAAGTAAGAGCCATTTTACTTCGGGACGAACACGGTATAAATTTCATGGTGTATTATGTAAATAAACATATAGGTATTATCTATCTAGGTTATGTAAGTTTAAGGTATTCAGTTACATTTATTTATTAACATAACATAACATCATGCCTGTATGTGCCCGAAGGGGTAGGCAGAGGTGCACATTACGGCACTTAATGCCACTGTACAATGTAACACCCACTTTTCACTATTTATAATGAGTCCCATGTAATAGGAGGTGAGCCTATTGCCACATACCGGGCACATTTTTACACTCCGTGCTACTACTGAGTCTTTTAAAAACCCAGTAATACTTTGCCTGACCTGGGAATCGAACCCATTTGCGACCACTCGGCCAACGAGGCAAATTATTAATTATTTCTCTTGAATATGCTTGCTACTTGCGACCTGCAACTGTTTATCTCTGCATCACCAAAAGGAATGACAGGAAGAGAATGCCCGTAGCATTAAGTCCACCAATGTACATATGTTTGTCCATGAAAATTAAATAAAATGAAAAAATGAATTGCCTTTTATACGACACACATTACCAATTAATATAATACTTATTACATCAGAACATTTCTCAAGAAATGAAAGAGATAAAACACACTAGTGGCTCGGTTTCTTTGTTCCCATGTAAAATATGGCCTTTTTATTCATAACTCTTCAGATGTGTATGCTCAAATTTAGTGTAACGCTAATTATTGGAATATTTTGATGTAACATTTTAAATGCAAACTATACATTTTTGGTCACGGTTCCTTTCGTAAATCGTATTCGGGAAACGTATAATCTTCTGTAGTGGTCTCTTCTGTGGTGGTCTCTTCTGTTGTGGTAGCTTCTGTAGTGGTAACTACTGTAGTATTAGCTTCTGTAGTGGGAGCCCAGGCAGTGGTTGTGTCTTCCGTTGCATTATCAATTAAATATTTCAATAATTCATTAATGTCCTGCAATATACTACTTTCTTCAGAACTTCCGGAATTTACTGCGGTACATTTCTCGTCACATTCTGCTTTGGAGTCAAATTTATTAAATGTTTGACAGCCTCTCCATTCCGCTTTGATACAATGGCCATCGACGTGTGTGTATACTGTCTGCGTCACGTTGGTACATTGTTTTGTTTCGAGTGTTATTGTGCATTCTGAAACATTGAAATATAAAAGAGAATGAGGATTATAGTTTTCGTGATTAAAAGGCAAACTGGTGCAATACAAATATAATAAAAATTGTTTTTTTATTATATTTGTATTACCTAATTTTGTTAAGTAACATAATGCGGTAACGATTCTGTGCCAAGGCATAATTTTTGGTGTTCCCAAAATAAGGTCATGACTTATGCCACGTTTATACTACAACTAGCGACCCGCCCCGGCTTCGCACGGGTGCAATATGCATGTATTATACATACAAACCTTCCTTAAGAATCACTCTATCTAATAAAAAAAACCGCATCAAAATCCGTTGCGTAGTTTTAAAGATCTAAGCATACATACGGACATACAGCGAAAGCGACTTTGTTTTATACTATGTATTGATATATAAAGAAGAGCAATAGAACATAACTCTATTTATTGTAACGATAGGTAAGGACAATTTTCCTTTATAATTTTACTGTTTCCACGTCAGTAAGCAACGACGTGAAGCAACGCTTACGTTGTGCGTCGTCGTGTGAGTGAGGTTACCGGATGCCCAATTACCTTCCCCTTCCCCAATCTCCCCAATCCCTGAATCCCCAAAGATCCTCAAACTCCTAATCCCCAAAAAGCCGGTGACGCATTTGTAACGCCTCTGGTGTTCCAGGTGTCCATGGGCGACGCCGACTGCTTACCATCAGGTGATCCGTCTACTCGCTTACCGGCTTATGTATGCCATAATTGCCATAAAAAAAGTAAATAACTATAAGGGACCTACTAGGACTCTCTGTATATCTAGAGATCTCGTGAAATTACGAAATACGTGACAGTTTCATTGTTTTCCGAAAGTAGTCACAATATTTGCAATAAATACGAAATAATAGGGTTATAAGATAAACGTTTCATTTCGTTAAACGTAAAAAAATAAGTAGGTAATATTATTATATTTGTGGCATGTTAATGACCTGTAAGTTGGAAACAGAAGCTAATTTTCTAAAATGAATTTTAACAAATCTACTCCCGTCTGTAGGTACCTAAATATTGTATTCTTCTATATGTTGTTGTTGAACATTCATGTATTAATTAATAAATAATCTTTTAGTAATGCAAACTCGCTAATATCGCGAGATCTAGGACCATTTCTCGAACGAGATTATTCTCGCTAATAAAGGACGAAATCTCGCAAGGTCAAGATTGCATTCCCTGGTACGTGGTGTTAGTAGTACGGCGTATCTACGTCATGCCACTGAGAATAAGGACTCACCATCAAATTCTGATCCTGGCATTCGACTTCTAAAAATACAGTTCATGCTGCACAAGTACTCATTTTCAAATTTATTGAGAGTTGGACAACCCCTCCACACTTCGAGTTCACATCTTGAACCTGGCTTGTAGTAGGCGAACACATGCTGCGGTGGCAATTTACAGTCGCTATGGTTAAAGGGTGCCAGGCAATACTCCGGGGGCACTATAATAAAATTACAACAACATAATTATTGATATTCGTATATTCAACTGAAATTCAAAATTACCCATCTAAGTGTGGGAGAGCATAATGCTTCAGCGCGAATGAACCGGCTCGACTGGATTGATAATACGGCCTCACAGAAAACTGACGTCAAACCACAGTAAAGTTAATTTATATTTAGTCGTGTGAGGTTACCGGAGGCCTAATCCTCCTCCCTCTCCCCATTCCCCAGCCCAAATATCACATAAGTGAACAAATATTAGACTATTTGGTTTTCTCTATTCAACATCACGAATCCTTGACAATCCGCTGCTGGACTATAGGCCTCTGCAAAGGAGATGTTTGCCATACTCTTATATGCTTGGCATGCGAATTAGAGGTCGCAGTGTATCAGAAAACGTTTCTACGTGGTCTCTGTTAAAATGTCTCTTAGTTTCTACGAACTGTGTGTCACAAATGTATGTCTGACGCCTGTTTGACAAACGGTGAAGGAAAACATCGTGAGGAAACCTGGGGTTATAATTTCTAATTATAAGTTTGTAATCGCCAACCCGCATTGAGCAAGCGTTGTGATTAATGCTCAAACCTTCTCCGTGTGAGAAGAGGCTTTGTTCAGAAGGGGGCATTTATAGGCTGTTGATGATGATGATGATCACATAGGTTTATCCGGTATTTATATAAAGGTGGTGAAACAGGCGCTAACAGCAGCGGGTTTGTATAAATAAAAGTACACTCACCTGTCCATGCAATATGTAAGACATTAAATATAACAGCCAGGTAGCTTTGTGAACACCAACTACAGCTCATGATGGCTACACAGTCTATGGCACTATTTCTTGAGTGATTTTATAACATTGTGTCAAATTCACTTGCAACTTATAATGGGTAATCAGTTTTAATTATGATTTTATGACAGAATTGAATGGTAATTAGTCGGAATTGTAATTAAAAAGTTGCCTAATGATATAAATTTACGCGAATTTGTAGGGGAGAAGGATACAGCAATAGCATTGTTTGTTTTTGATATTTGGGCTACATTTATTAAGAAATAATATTGGTAATTCAAAGAAAACTATGATAAATAATGTACAAAATAGATTTGTTTTGGTATTTTTGAAAATTGGTTGGATGGGTATCAATTGGCGTCACATAGTATCTGCCTAACCTCACGCCCTGTAAGGTTAAATGTATATGTATGTGTATGGTTAGATGGGTAGCTGTAATCACCTACTTATTTAAAGACCACAAAGACATATAGGTGCCTCAGTATTTACTGTAATAGTTAGACATTCTTCAGGAGTCTAGTCGTCACATATTTTACATTGAACCTATTCCTAATCTAACATGTCTCCGCAATTATACCTAATGCATTCGACTCCCTGCTAGGCTGCTCCTGCTGTAAGATGTCATTTCGAACTCTCATTCCTCATTCTCGCCTGTCATTGGTCGAGATAATTCTCACCAATGACATGGCGGACCACGAGTTCGAATTGATGCCTAGCAGAAGGGCGTAGCAGGGTGTTGCGAATCTGGTTTACTTTCTTGCCTTTTTCCCATTTTCATATTTCTCTTGACCTTTACCACTGCTTGGCTTATTTAGCCAACTCTATTAATACTGCCTGCCTCATTTGCCAAATGGTCGCAAGTTCGACTGCTGGGCAAGGGGTCGCGTGTTCGATTCCGTGTCGGGCAAATTATTACTGGGCTTTTAAAAAAAATCTCAGTAGTACCACGAAGTCTGGAAATGTGCCCGGTATAATATGGCAGTAGGCTCACCCCCTGTTACATGAGACGTCATAAATTGTATAAATAGAGTGTTACATGGTACAGTGGCATTAAGTGCCGAAATGTGCACCTCTGCCTACCCCTTCGGGGACAAAAAGGTGTGAAGTTATGTTATGTTTTGTTATGTTTTTCATTGACATCATTGCAATGAAACAGCAGCAGTCACAGCAGTGACTGTGCAAGATCATGCGTGGACATCGGCGAGATTAGATTCGCGAGACTTTTTTCCCAAACAAGAAAACGTTCAATTACATAAGCCGATTTACCTTAAGCCTATAGTTAAACGAATGTAATAAACGGGTTTTATTGCTAATCAAATGATTACACAAAATACACTTGAGAACATTTAAGAATTATGTAACATAGCTAACAATAACTGCTAAACTATCAAACACCAAGCGGTCACCGGTGACCGCAACCTATTGTTCTATAATTGTGTCTACAAAACCGGTACTCTGCCTCGACCACTCGGACTGCCTCGTTGTCCGAGTGGTCGCATGTGCGATTGCCGGGCAAGGGGTCTCGGGTTCGATTCCCGGGTCGGGCAAAGTATTACTGGGTTTTTACTACTTTTTACAAAATTCTCAGTAGTAGCACGGAGTCTGGAATTGTGCCCGGTAGATGGCAATAGGCTCACCCCCTATTACATGGGACTCATAACATAAATAGTAAAAAGTGGGTGTTACATGGTACAGTGGCATAATGTGCACCTCTGCCTACCCCTTCGGGGATAAAAGGCGTGATGTTATGTAAAACCGGTACTCGACGAGTTAATGTTTTCAGCTTCAATTGCAGAATGGATAACGCGGATAATCTCTCCAATTTTTTATTTTTTTTAAGTGGAGAAAGTCATCGAGTGACTGCTCCCGCCTGGGTGAGGCGGGAGGGAGTGTCAGACTCTTACTGACTAAAAACCACCCCGTTCCTTCTCCTGCACGTCGAGCCGGAGCCCCGGTAACCCGTTAGGTTCTCCGCGACTCCGAAGTAATCTCTCCATAGGTGTATATTATTTACTGGCATATGGGCTGTTGCTGAAAATCAGCGCCGTGGACTCGAGCCTTCGTGCCCGAGCTACAATATTAAGCTGAGCTCCCACCTTTTGCGCTGCGATGCACCATGCGCTTCTTTTGTGTATACCTTTGTATATTCTTATTGTGGGGCATGGCGTCATAAATAATTTGTCTTTCTCTGTTACATCGTTATCATAAGACAGATAATTTTCTACTTTTAACAATTAAAAATTAGATCGTTGAGAAACTTGGTAATGTTTCTTTCAGTAATTGAATCCTACTATCCTACTAATAATATTATAAATTAATTTTCTACCCGCAGCTTCGCATGGGCTTTTTAGGCGATAGGGTTGTACTTAAAAAAATTTTTTTTTTGCCACAAATAGTTCATATACTTACCAATTTTTTGCGTTTTAACTTGAAAATTACGGTATGTTATTTGTTGCTATTTTAGGAAAGTGGAGGTTAGAAAGAAATAAAAGGTAGCCTGTTTTACTTTCATTGCTTCTTCACTTAAAAAATCACGTCAGTTCGTCGTATTTACTTTGCGCTGAATTTACAACAAGCCCTCTATACGTAAAATTCGAGTTACCTTTAGTGCTGCCATCTATGAATGAAATACCTTACTATTAGCATTAGCACCATTTACATTAGTTTGTATAAAGAAAAATAGATGGCGCATTATAAAATAAAGCTCTTTACTATCTGCAAAATTTTGATTTGGATACTTTACTAAAAGTATTGTAGTGTATAGTTAATTTAGATTTGGAAATAAACCGACTAGAAATAAAACGACAGTATGATTTTTAATCATCGTTGTTTATTGATATAATTTTCCTAATGCTTATTTTACGCTAAGGATATAATTTAGGTACCTAACTACTATCAAATTATATTTCAATTATAATTACTTAGTATACACCCTTAGTTAATATTTACACGTGAAATGAGTATAAAACATACCTATTCAGATTTATATTGTTCAACATCACTATTTACAAAAAATAAATTGGAAACAAGAAAAAATAAATAATGATTCCGACGGTTTTATTCAGGCTGTTAATTTAAAATATAAAACTAAATATAAATACACCTTTTAGGTATTTTATTTTTTACAATTTTATTAAAGTATTTCGTTGTTTCATTTAGCGCCATCTAGTTTGTGCTTTGCACAATTGTTTCCTAACGTGAGATCAGCCGTGATAATCGTAGTATTTGAGAAATATTAGAACTGTTTTGGATTTAAACTATTTAGTTATTTCTTATGTGTGTAGAAAAATACACTGTATTTGTTTAGAGAAGCTTTCTTAAATACGTACGGTTGCCAAATTAAGAATTATCGACGACGTTGATGACCAAAAATTGATATAATTGCATACAGACCTGTATCATCCATTCTTATGTTAGGTGTCTGTCTTTTGCCTTAGGTAAATAGGTATAATAGTTATACCACCATACCAGACCATAGTTAACAGGAGAATGGATGAAACGAGTATGAAACTATACCTATGTATTATTTACCATAATTTAGGAATGCTTCTTCGATCATAACATTTATCATTTGTTTTCCATAAACACAGTAAGAGAAATACCTACAGTAACTGTAAGAGTAATTACTTTGTTGATTGTTTTGTCTCTCTTCTGCATAATACTGCACCAATTATAATTAGCAGAACCTGCAACAAAAATTGAACATAAATAGTTTTATCAAACACTAGCAGCCCGTCCCGGCTTCGCACGGGGTAGACAATTATTAATTTTGGAAATTTGGATTGTTGTAGTGACATAACTACAATAGTTGGACATATGCTACCGCGAAGTTTTCTGTAGACATTATGATGTTCTTCAATATTGTTGTACATTATTTTGTTCCATCGCTAATAGTTTCGGCAGCGCATTCGACGAAAGACAATTTAAGACTTTTTTTCTACACCTTCGGTTACATTGTTCCAAGGATCCCTAATTTTTTTCAAAATGAAATATATGTCAAATTGGAAGAATAGCATTCTATTGGTGAAAAATTTTTTTACATCGACTTTATACTTTTTGAACCTATTCATTACAAACATACAAAAATAGGTACAAATCTTTCCTCTTTATAATATTAGTACCTATAGATATAGACGTATAAAATATTACTATGATACCTAAAGATGTAGGAACTTATTTGAGACAAAACAAAGTGTCTATTGACAACTTACCTCAACTACTATAAGTAAAATTGATACACTGAACACCATCGACGAAGTCTCCTTAAATACCATGAGGACAAGGTCCTTGCACCCATCAGTGTAGTAAGACTGTTTTACTTTGCAGAGTTCTCTATCTCTTTCTTGCACCAGATCAGACCTAGAGGAGTCGTAAGTGGGGCAGCAAGAAATTGGCACGTTCGGTGGAAAGTAGTAAGGTAGCTTCGAGCTTCGGTAGTCTTCTGGACTGTAGACACCGCAACAGTTCAACTGAAATAAAGAAAAACGAAAATCAATTAGATATTTGTTTTCGACTACAGAAAAAGATTAAAAAAAAACAAAAAAAGTGAAAAGAGGTTGTCGAGTGACAATTTTGTTTTATTTATTTTCCACACGTTTACTCTATAATTGAAGTACTCTATAATTACATTCTGAAATACTACTTCTAAAAACAAAAACAATATTTTTTTAAATAAAAAAATAGGAGTTGACCCGTAGCGGAAGCATGGTCCAAGCTACCGATGGTTAGGGCTCCAGAGACAGAATCCTCCAAGTATCAAGACCTTGACCCATCCGCCTAACGCCAGCCTAAGGTGGTTGTCGAGGCTGTTAGGAATTAACCCATTGGCTGACAAGACTATCGGCACAATGATAGCCGAAACCACATGTCGACAACCCCGTGATCCGAATCAAGATATTTTATTTGTTAATTCTTTCCCAGCTTTCGCGAGGTTATCATAATGGTGACATCGATTATCATCGTGCGGCGCTCTTGTCGAGTGGGTCTATTATAGCTTCATCAAGTTTATTGGCTACACAGGCTATACTGGTCCTGTCAGTGATGATAGACTGGTCCCAGTCCAATGTGATATGACTCTTTTGCCTAAACTGAGTCTGGAACATCTTGTAGTACGATCCCTCAGACTCAACAAGTCGATAGTGCAAAGCAAGTTGCTGATGGATATTCTTGACTACCTAATTATGCCTATGCACTATTATACCAAAATATTAGTACACGTATAGCTTCCAAATCATACAAACATGGCATAGGTAGTGATATTCTTGTTACCATTTTTGTTTCTATAATAAAATCACATAACATAACACGCCTTTTATTCCCGAAGGGGTAGGCAGAGGTGCACATTATGCCACTGTACAATGTAACACCCACTTTTCCCTATTTATTTTATGAGTCCCATGTGATAGGGGGTGAGCCTATTGCCATATACCGGGCACAATTCCAGACTCCGTGCTACTACTGAGAATTCTGTAAAAACCCAGTAATACTTTGCCCGACCCGGGAATCGAACCCGAGACCCCTTGCACGGCAGTCACTTGCGACCACTCGGCCAACGAAGAAGAAGTAATAAAATCACTACATATTTACTATGGGTAGTAGTAGGTGCAGTGTTTGTTTGTACAGCTGTAAAAATAATTTAATGAATAAATAATAATATCTTCTACTACCGACACTTACATCTGACTGTGTCATCGCCCACATCTTCACGTGCCTCGGATTTTCTTCTCGAGATTGCTTGAAGGAATCTGTCAGTGACTTGAGGAGTTTAGCCTCATCAGCTGGTTCCACATTCACAGATATGCCAGCAATCAATGCTTGCACTATTGCAAGAAGTAGTAGCACCACAGCTGCCTAGAAAAAAAAATATATTTATTAAACTCGGTCCAATATTCACTCTTAGCCCCTTTACCATGTCGCGGAGAACCTAAAGGGTTACCGGGGCTCCAGCTCGACGTGCAGGAGAAGGAACGGGGTGGTTTTTAGTCAGTTAGAGTCTGACACTCCCTCCCGCCTCACTCAGGCGGGAGCAGTCATTCGATGATTTTCCCCCCTTAAAAAAAAATCCTTTACCATGCACGAGCGGTTGACTGCCTAGGCCGTTCATATCGCCTGATACGGTTGCTAAAGCGATTGTATAGCGCTTGCATATGAAATTGGAAAAGCGACCAACCGCAGAGGTGGTAGCCGTGCGGTTGGCCGCTAGTGCATAAAGGGCCTTAGGTTGTGATCGTAGTTCCAAAGATTTCATAAAAAATTACACCAAAACATGTGACAGCAAGCAGCAGCTGGTAGATTATTTTAAAGCATTAGATACGCATTTTTTCTTTTCTCACAAATTTTAATGCTTTCGACGATTATATTGATTTGAAATGTCGTGTGACGTCACAGCGTGCAACAAAATATATCACGTTGTGACGTAACTACCTCCCACTCTTAAACTTAACTCCGTTTTATCTAAGTATTATTTTATTATACGACAAAATAAAATACGTGTCTAATAATTTTTCATTACCTAACTGACGGACTAATTAGATTTTTAATTTTCTTACCCTAGAAACTACCCAATTGTATGAGCTAAGGATCGCAAATATAGCGAAATATCCTTTGTGCACTAAAACATTTTTTTATGGGATAAGCCGGTAAACCAGCAGACGAATCACTACTTGATGGTAAGCAATCGGGGCCACCCATGGCCATCCGAAACACTGGGTTCTCCGACCAGGGTATTATTGAATAGCATAAGAGGCTTTCGCACAGTGACTAGGCAAACATGACCGCAACCTACATTGTCGTCTCTCTCGCCTAACCCAAGGAGGGAGAAGTCATAGGATGATTGTCCCCCCTCAAAAACAAAACGTACATTGTCGTCATGTGGTGAGCAATTGAGGTAATATTTACAATATTTTTTACAACCAGGACATACAATACATACAAAACCCTGGGGTTGATCCTGACAAAATGTAGTGCGACTACCAACTATTGTAATCACGAGTGGTAGGTAACAATTAGCATGTCAAGTTCGCGTGATATGCCAACAGTTTTCCATTGAACTTGAATATATTATGGACGTCAAGGACGTAGGCAGGGGTTATGCCCTTGAAGCCCATTCTTGGATCCCTGTACCTTCTTTACACGTTATACTTGCGACACTTATGTACTAAACTTTTATTTTTTTATCCTGATTTGTTGATGGAATGATGATATATAAATCAATAGATTTCCATCATTTTTTAAGGGGGGAAAATCATCGAATGACTGCTCCCGCCTAGGTGAGGCGGAAGGGAGTATCAAACTCTTACTACGACTAAAAACCACCCTGTTCCTATTCCTGCACTTCGAGCCGGAGCCCCGGCAACTCGTTAAGTCTTCCGCGGCTCCTTGAGGCGGGCGCAGATCGCGACGCGCCATACGCTCGCGCCTGTTTCTGGTCGGGTGGCGAGTCACTCGTGCTCGCCGTCAGCAGGCCCGTGCTTACGGTGGCCGGAGATCGTCTCGCGAAAATGTCAGAGATGGCACCATATTTAAGTACTACTAATTGAGTCACCTTTCATATTATGTATGAGTATTCATTCGTAAGCCAAGTAAACGTATTAAGGTAGGCTTCAATGACATAATATTTAATATTATTTCATACGTAACAGCTTGTGCATAATGCCATTAGATTCATTCCACGAGTGGAAATAAATTAATAAAGGGGTACATACACAATTGTAAACAGTTTACGACTTATTGTACTGCGTATTGTTCATATTATAGGCGAGTTATAAAAAACTACATTTAATACATTTATTTTTATTGCCATTCAATACGTATACTTGCATTCTTATATAGTACGAGCATATTAATAGATTTTTGCGTATTTTCATTGTTCACAGTTATGTAATGTACACTGGGGGACAGATAAGCCTGATCATTTTAAAATTCTATTGCTTGAACCTAGCGAAATCATCACGCCATACATCATAAATGTTTAAACTAATAACAAATAGAAAAGCGATAACGTCGCAGCTGAGTGACTCAACCTGTGTAATCTCTTACGGCTAATTTCTGAGATAGAAATTTGACACAAGCTCCATATAAAATGTGTCAAAATTCTATCTCATTATGCAAATCTACAGATAGATAGGTTATAGAAATTGGCTGTTAGTCAGTGGTGCGTTTGATGTTGTTAGGCTACCGGCGCCGGCGCTACCCCCGCCCAGCACCCCGCTTAATTTATCGATCCAAGGTCATGAGGCGGAGCTAGAGAGCGTATCTCATCAGGAGCAAACTAACATTAAATTAATGGTGGTCAGGCGCATGTGCCCCCCTTTGTACACTAGACCTTATACCGTAATAAACCATTCAACATGCTGCATTGTATTTATCAAAATGTGTGCAATGGAGACAAGGTACGCCACTAACAAATACCGGACAATTTAATAACGAAATGTTTTCGATTACTGTTGCAAGCGACTTGTGCCTATTTAAACTGTCAAACACCAAGCGGTCACCGGTAACCGCAACCTATTGTTCTATAATTGTGTCTACAAAACCGGTACTCGACGAGTTAAAGTTGATGACTTAACTTACTACTCAATCCCACGTCATTTCACCGGCGGCTCCTATTGGTCGTAGTGTGATGTTTTATGGTTTACTAGCGACCCGCCCCGGCTTCGCACGGGTGCAATATGCATGCATACATATTAACCTTCCTTAAGAATCACTCTATCTATTAAAAAAACCGTATCAAAATCCGTTGTGTAGTTTTAAAGATCTAAGCATATATAGGGACAGACAGACTGCGGAGAGCGACTTTGTTTTATACTTTGTAGTGATAGTGATATCACTCTCCAACCCTTCAACTATTTCACTTTCACTTCAACAGACACACACATTTTCGCATTTGTAAAACCTACATTTTAGCTATTTTCGCTCTACTCGACCCTTACTAATCGTGACGTGATGTATTAAAGTAGCCTTCCTCGATAGATGAACAAATGAACACAAAATTAATTATTCAAATTGGACCAGTCATTCAGGAGATACGCGCATTCAAACAAATTGCTTGTTTGAAACTGAAAAGTTTGTACTACATACATACATAACATCACGCCTTTTATCCCCGAAGCGGTACCCAGAGGTGCACATTATACCACAGTACAATGTAACACCCTCTTTTCACTATTTATGTTATGATTCCCATGTAGAGGTAATAGGGGGTGAGCCTATTGCCATATACCGCGTTTTTTTACGTATTATAAACGGGAAAAGAAAGATTATAAGATTAGTATGAACTGTGGCGACGATGCCGAGTGGTCGCAAGTGCGACAGCTGGGCAAGGGGTCTCGGGTTCGATTCCCGGGTCGGGCAAAGTATTACTGGTTTTTTTTTGCTCTCAGTAGCAGCACGGAGTCTACAATTGTGCCCGGTATATGGCAATAGGCTCAACCCCTGTTATATGGGATTCATAACATAAATAGTGAAAAGTGGGTGTTATGTTGTACAGTGGCATTAAGTGCCGCAATGTGTATCTCTGCCTCCGGGGATAAAAGGCATGATGTTATATTATTAATATGGATAGTTGCGTGAAGCGACGTAATAAAAGAAAAAAGATACTAAAAATCAAATAAATCGGTAATTACCACATTGACAGGTCTCGAATGTTTTTTAAAAATAGCGACTTCTCCATAGATAATGGTGCATATTGTGAATGCTGCTAACACCGCCATGAATACCATGGCCACCATCCTGCTGGACTGCTCAGCATCATACGCCTTTGTTGCTATCGATGTTAATATTGCTAAGACTATAAGTGCTACAGCTGCTATCTGGAACAAGGGACGGATTATAGAACAATTTTAACTTGTAAATAAATATAGTGCTATCTCTGTCATTCTATAAAGAAGTCAGAGAGGGAGGTATACTTAAAATTGAGTATAGCCTTTCAAACATTGTGGAATGCAATAAAGTATTTGTTTTTGTCAATGTTCGGGCTCTAGTTGCCTTAATTGATTAACCGATGTTAACGTCATTACAATACAGAAAAGCTCTACTAATTTCATGTTACCCTGGGACTCTTATTCATGAGCAGTGTGCGCAACGCGGCTACACGCAATGCATCGTCGGCCACATCATCGCTTACCACCAAGGGAGATGATGGCTAAACGCTGTCCTATTAAGTATAAAAAAACGACTTCAAGGTCACTCAGCGTGCGATGGATGCTGGAGAACCGCTACTGATCTACGTTGTTTGATACACATTCTGCAGCATGGTTCTTTCTCCACCATTTCTTACAAAATGGCAACGTTCCTTGCACTCTCGCTACCGGCCGTGAACTAAGCACTAAGAACATATGGTATCCTTGGTGCAACAGCATAGACAGACCGTTAGAGCCATCGCTTCCAGGGAGGCGTATAGTCTAGGCGACTTGATACTTCCAAGGTGACGTGTGGGACGCTCTTATGACCCTGACAGATAGCATACCTTGTGGACGTCTCAAGATTGTAACGCTACTAACCGTTAGGTTGCGCACTATAGAGTACCATGGACCCCACGATACCAGCGTACAGCCATCGAGTCCGATTGAGGTCCACAGTCCCATCGGCTATCCAGTACCAGTCCTAAGTACCTCGTAGAGGGCTCTCAACCCATTCGTACACTTCCTACAACTAGACTGGAATCCTATGGTAAGCAAGTACATCTATCTTTGGATATTTTTATACAAACATAGGTACTTTTTTATCACTTTATAATTATATCTATAATATTAATTGGACTACAAAATCTACATAGATTGTGGAAAATGTTAGTTTTGTATGTTTTATTATTATGTCATTATTATAGAACTTACCCCTCCAATTATGCCTAAGATCACGAACACTGTTTTAAGGCAATTCTGTTGAGAATGACCTTTGTGTTTGTTTCCATGACCATGAGTTTTTTCATCTTGTTTCTCATTCATCCCACTTTCAATGGCGTCATGTTTGAGATCTGACCCGCTTCCTGAGGAACAAAAGGTAAATTAAAAATTGTTTGATTCCATGTAATTTTTGGATCGATTTTAGGAATGGAACTTCTTGCTGGAGTCTGTGTTTCCCGGCAAATATAACTTGGGTGTCTTCAAGTCGCCAGTAAACAGGTTGCTCATTGGTAAGCGTACTCCATCGTCGACCTCATCATCGTTTACCGAAGGCGAGATAGTGGCCAAACGTAATCCTATCAAGTACAAAATCTTAAAGTTTTAATTTAATCATTATTGTTTAACTCGGTACCTATTTACTAAAACTAATAATGCAAAAATGATTGCTTGTTTGTTGGAACCTTCGATCTCGTAAAAGAGCGATCTTGCCTATGGTATTATTTGTGCGTCCTGAGGTAAATGGGAGGCTGGACTGGAGAGGTTGCCAGCTGACATTAGTAAGGCACATCCATAAATATAATGTAATATTTCTGTGGTTACATCGTTCCCTTTGACAAGACAAACAAAATCGTGGATTATACAACGTAGGTAATCACCAAAATATTCCACGTACTAGTGTTTAAATTATTATAAGTAGTGTAGTATAGTTCATATTCTTAGCTTTTACGTTTATTAACATTTTAATTTTCACAAGATTATAATTATGTTAAATAAATGTTTTTAAAATTCTAAAATAAACTTAAATTTTATTTTTCTTTAACATGTTGATTTCGTAAGTAGTAGTTTCTTTTTTTTTCAGTTGGTTAACCTATAATTGGCGACTGTATAAGCCCAATATCTATTATTGCCTAAATTATTTCTAAAAACTATGTATACCGAAGCTGTTGGTATACCTTATTAAATAAATGAATAAACTTATGATTGGACTAATGCATTTCCAGCTTCTTTTCGCTCAATGCTCTATATCTTATTATTGTTCCAATCCCCCAAATCACAAGGACAATTTTGAGTGTCTTAAAATCGTGGTCAATTTGGCGGATTGAAATTGTTTTAATTAAAAATTGAAGTTCGGACTTACCTTCCTGATCCACAGTCGCCATATCTTCCCAATTGATGGGGCACTCGTCAAAACTGAGCCGCACATCCGTTGGACCTGTATATATACGACAATAACAATACAACATGGCCGCATGGTCTAACGCACGGATTCATACAAATAATGGAGTAGATTCATTCACTATATTTTATGTGGCATTATAGAAAATCGTTTGTGTACGATAGTTGCAAAGTCGCGGTCAAGACTGCGTGTTTTGGATCCTGGTTGATGTCTAGATTTATTAATGTTAGACCTTTTTGTTTGAAACTGGCTTTCTACAAACGAATACTGCAACAAATTTGATATAATTTCGTCTAGTCCGTGAAATGGATCTTGAGAAATGTTCACGGTTTTTAATTAAGGTTTGTACTTCGTGACGTGTGTCGTATGTCGTGGTGGCTCGGAGGTTTAAGACGCCCGCTTCTCATGCATGAGGTGGGTTCAAAACCAACGGCAAGTACCAATATGACTTTTTCCGAGTTATATGTACTTTCTAAGATTATCTAGACACCACTGACAAACGGCGAAAGAAAACAACGTGAGGAGTCCTGGGCTTATAATTTCTAATTATAAGTTTGTAATCGCCAACCCGCATTGAGTAAGCGTGGCGATTAATGCTCAAACCTTCTCCGTCTGAGAAGAGGCTTTGCTCAGCGGTGGGCATTTACAGGCTGTTAATGATGATGACTTCGTGACTGTTTAAATATCTACCACATATGAAGTTGCAGGTGAAAATCTACAAATATTTGTATCACATATCGCATCATACATGCAGCTCCCCCTGCTGGGAAAACACAGAGGAGAGATGAGTTTAATCAAGGACTACGTGCTTGATTGTTAGCGATTTTACTTCTGATTTGGAATCTTAAACTATGATTGTATAAACATAAATAATTTGTTTGTTTGAACGCGCTAATCTCAGGAACTAGTGGTCCGATTTGAAAAAATATTTTTGTGTTGGATAGTCTATTTATTTATTAAGGAATGTTGTAGGACATAAAACATACCGATACGATAAAAAGAAGCCAAGCAAAGAGGTCAAAACCACGCGAGTAACAAGTATATTTCAATATAAAAGTGTTGAATTTAACTAGTAATAGAATATCGTAGTATTTGTAAGAAGAAATTGTCGAAAAAGCTGCCCGTTTACAGGCTCTCAGTATTATCATGACGCTCGGTACACGTGCAATTCAATGTATTTATAAGCATAACTATTGCGTCAACTACATAAAGATAAAAAATTACGTATGTAAATAGACGTAGAATGACTGCCTCGATAACCGAATGGTAGCAAGTATGACTCGGCAAGGGGTCTCGGGTTCTATTACCGGGTTGGGCAAAGTATTACTGAGCTTTCCGCACAAAGTCTGGAATTGCGCCCAGTATATTGGAATAGGCTTACCTCCTATTACATGGTACTCATGACATAAATAGTGAAAAGTGGGTGTTACATTGTGCAGTGGCATTAAGTGCCGTAATGTGCACCTCTGTCTACCCCTTCGGGGATTGTCGCGGAGAACCTAACGGGTAACCGGGGCTCTGGCTCGACGTGCAGGAGAAGGAACGGGGTGGTTTTTAAGTCAGTAAGAGTCTGACACTCCCTCCCGCCTCACCCAGGCGGGAGCAGTCATTCGATGATTTTCCCACCTTAAAAAATAAATAAATAACCCCTACGGGGATAAAAGGCGTGATGTTATGTTATTATTGTATCCAGCCGTAAATATGTAGGTACCTAATAATGATAGGTAGACAAGACGATTATTTGGTTCTGTCTGCCACGCCACCGTGGTATCCATTAACACGTAGATCGCCATGAGTTGCAGCATGTCGGCAAAAACCCAGTAATACTTGGCCCGACCCGGGAATCGAACCCGAGACCCCTTGCCCGGCAGCCGCACTTGCGACCACTCGGCCAACGAGGCAGTCCAGAGAATTTGTCCTCATTAGTTTTCTGTCGGCAGTCAAAGGCTTAACTACCTTTTGATTTTTAAATGTAGACAGAGGTGTCGAATATAATCTATATCTATATATAAAAATAAAACCCGTTTCCCGTTGTCACGCCATAACTTGAGAATGGCTAGACCGATTTGGCTGATCTTTTGTATTTGTTATTGTTGGAGAAGGTCCTTAAGATAGAAAAATACGGGACAGGAACGGGAGAAAACGGGATTGCGCGTACGAAGTCGCGGGCAGGAGCTAGTATTACCTCTCCTACTATTATATAGGATAGCGCGTTTGCAGCGGTCCAAAGGTTTTTCAGCTTGAGAGCATCACTCTACGATCAATAGGAAAAGGGTGCTTACTCTTGAAACCAATCTCAACGTCAATGCAATTGCAATCCAATAAAATCTCAATAACTAATTAATGTCTGCACTATACAACCCCAATCGTAACCGTTAAAATAGCATTCAGAGTACAGAATACAAAGACAAACTCAGTACCGTTTAGTTCATTCAATATCCACGCAATACGGATGCAATGGGCGCTAGTGTTGCAACTCAAGAGTACGACATTTGACAATACCAATGTCAATCGATCGGAATTGGATTCAAGAGCCCCCAGAGCTGGTGACACCGCGTGGAAGTCGCTAGTTGATAAAATAATAACCCTTTTTGGACCAGCTTTTATTTTATGGAATAGAAGGCAAACAAGCAGACGGCACACCTGATGGTAAGCGATCAGCGCCGCCCATGGACACCCGTATCACCAGAGGAGTCAAAGGTGCGTTATGATTATGAGTTCCATATAATAGAGGGTGAGAATATTGCTACACAGTAACCAGTGTCCATTTCCAAACAGCACTAAGAATTTCTCAAAAATCCAACATGAATACAAAATAATTATGATATAAACTACGTATAAAAAAGTTTTGAAGTCGATTAATTAATTTACTAAAACCTACTCATAAATTAATGTAACAAGCACTTTTCTGAAACCCGCATCGAAATCGGTGCAGCCAATTTGGGTAGTTCCCAGGTCCGTCAGTTAGATAATGTAAAAATATTAGACACGTATTTTTTATTTTCTCGTAATAAGTTGCAATACTTAGATTAAATGGCGCTAAGTTTAAGAGAGGGAGGTGGTTACGTCATAACGTGCTACAGAAGGGTGACACGCTTTGACGTCACACGATATTTCAAATTAATATATCGTCGAAAGTATTTAATTTTGTGAGAAAAGAAAAAATACGTGTCTAAAGTTTTAAATTAATGTACCAGACGGAGATTAAAATAAAATTTAGGACAATATCCTATTGTGCACAAACGTACATACGTAGGTACAGGTCAAACAGAAACCCTTTTTTGAAGGCGGTTAAAAATGGGCAATATTTTCTCCTGATAATATGTGTGAAGATAGAAGATAGATAATAAAAACCATACTGAACACTCCACTTACCTGAGGACAAAAAACAATTCAGAGATAATTTCACACCATGTATTATTATGTGTTTCACTTCATACTTCAAAAATTGTAGACCAATTGACTATTGTTCGGTAATACCATTGTAAATGTATTTTTATGAACTTATATGGTTATATTTCAAGTGTAGGTGAACACTGTTTCTTCATAAGATACTGACTTCCTCGAGCTTGTTAGCATATCACCAAATGGCAGAGAGTGCTAACTATATGTCAGTCATGTTAATAAACATTGTTGTATATTGATTTTGTCGCTACTATAAAATAAGATACAAAGGCCGAGTGAATTAACTTTGTTTTGTCTTGTGTGGTTTAAACGAAAGACTGTTTCACAGAGTGTGTTATTGATCTATGCATGTTTTGTACTATTAAGCTGACAAGTTTGTTTGTTTATTTGAAGTCGCTAAGATCCGAAACTACTGAATCGAATTTAATAATTTCATTTTTGAGTTGTATAGTTAATCCGTTTATTAAAGAAGGACATAAACTGCCTCGTTGGTCGAGTGGTCGCAAGTGCGACTGCTGGGCAAGGAGTCTCGGGTTCGATTCCCAGGTCGGGGAAAATACTACGGAGTTTTAAAAAAATATCTCAGTGGTAGCACGGACTCTAAAATTGTACCCGGTATATGGCCATAGGCTCACCCCCTATTACATGGGACTCATAACAAAAATAGTGAAAAGTGGGTCTGGGTGGTATGTTTTGTTATGCTATAGACTATAAAACATCACGCTACGATTAAAAAGGAACCAAGTGGTGGGTGGAACCGCGAGCCAGGAGCTAGGCTGGCCAAAACGTCTGCGTTCAGTCAAATTATTAAATTGGTGTTATAATTCCACTCGAGTGATGAACTGTCAACTGAGGGAAATGGATCATTTCTGTGTTAACAAGACGAGCGTGAGTTAATCAGGATTTATTTCGACAAACATTTGGACTGGCGAATTTTTGTAGGCAGAGACCGAAGTCATATGTAGTTTACTTATATGATAGGGGCCAAATGAGAAGATGGGTCAGACGGAGAGACGACGGAGGGAAGACCACGCAATTGTAAGCGGTTGGCTTCACTCATACATTCTCACTCTTGAAACTAATCTCAATGTCAATTTCAATTCGATCCAATAAAATCACAATAATTATTCAATGTCAAATACCGTCACAAAGCTAACTATAAGAATTATATAATTTCTATGACGTCATCAAAATATATCCACGAAATATATACTAATATATTATATTGTAACCTAATTGGCTAATGTACCCATACCGACCAATGGCTGCACGGTAGGCGTAGTGGCTGGCTGCCGTGCAACGTGTAGTGGGTTCGATTCCCGCTCGGAACAACTCTTTGTGTGATCCACAATTTTTTTTTTCGGATATCTGTGTCATGTGTCTGTGAACTTATATGTTTGTAAACGCACTCACAACACAGGAGAAAATCCTAGCGTGGGGCAATGTTTTATAAAAAAATACAGTTACTTAAGATATGGTACAATAATGTACTTTTTAGTATAATAATACTTACTATCTTTGTAATGAGTAAATATTTATTTTCGTACCTACAAACTAGATAGCAGTGCAGACTGTACTTAGGTTGTGGGAAATATTACTTTACTGTGTATTTTTTTAAAAATCTTTGGACT